ACCCAAAGTCTTGACTAATGTTCTGATTCACTACACTGGCGTCTCCAATATTATAATTGTAATCATCATTCACTATTTGAAGTGTTTTTTCCTGGTTGATTTTCTTTGAAACATAGCTCCATCCATATTATCCATACTATGCTTCACTTCACCTTTTGAATGTCAAAAGTATAACACGTTAATAGAATGTAACTGCCAGTTCAGGGTTCTAAGAATGTTAATGCGCACAATTCTGTTTAGTTTATAAAGTTTATTGAAATTACAAATCATTGAATAGAATGATTAGAATAACAAACAGGTAAGTATACTGCCATAGAAAACATCAAACTTGCTGTACATGTGTGTACGTGCGATTAACTGAAATATACAAATACAAATTTCTGTCAAAGTACAAGCATAAATCAATTAATAGATGACAAGATAGTAAGATGACAATACACAGTAATCTAGCCTACTACTTATAATATGCTAATAATATGCTACTGCTAATAATATGACAAAGGTTTTTACAATAGATGTCACAATAACAAATGTAAACAAAACCATATGATGGGAGATAACTCTTTGTGCTCTACATGGGGAAATTAATTGTGGTCCTTTTAATGCCAGAAATGACGGTCCCACACTCTCATATTTTACATGCACAAATTTACAATGACAACTGACAAAATATGAAATATATAGAAATATTAAATATAGTGTTATTAGACAAATCTCTCCTGAACAAGTTTACATTGTGATGTCAATTAATTAGCTGACAAAAGGCTTAAAATGCTTTTACTGCCAAGGAAAGCATGCCATGGAAAATTCTACTATGTCACGTATCCAAGATCAGCCTAATATTATGCACTCAAAGACGACCACAAAACGAAAAAATACTGATGCCATGCTTGACTGATAACGATACATTAATAATATGGAATCTCAAATGCACTATTTAGAAACGAAGAAAATAATAATAAAATGGCCATAACACTTGCCTAGCTCCGTATAGTCGCAGATCTAGACACGAACCTCATCACAAGCCATCTTGTCCAAGGCTACAGCTTGAATGATATCAATAAATTCTCAAATGCTCAAAATATTCCCAATTTTAACCGTGTGTATTTACTGAAGAAGTTGCAATACCGAACTATTTTTAAGAGTGGAAGCGTATCTGAGTTACGAAACTAGAAAGACGATTAGGAGGATTTTTAAAGACAGTTCGCACCACAATGAGTTATTTCGTCCTCATTAACATTACTGTGCTTACATTTTTATGTTTATTCACTTAGTATTTATCAAATAAAATTCATTCTTTTCATATGTGTCTTAAAAAACACCATGTTTAATTAAGTTTTACAGTCTGTTTTTTCTGATTTATTTCCCTTAATTTTATTGATCGCTCGAACGTACCTGAAAACTAGTCTTTTCTTAGAAACAGGGATGGTTTAAGAGGTGTCGGTTTGAGATTCTTCCTTCTTACTTAAATTCAACTTCTCCACCGATCTTATAATAAATTCTACAACTGGCTGTGGAGAGTGATGTCCTCTTTTAAATCGCACCTTTTCCTGTATTGTTTGTTTTAAGCATTCTTCAGCCGATTCTTTGAAGTTAAGAAAGTTTTTCAATTTCAATCTGCACTTATAACACAATAGTAAAATTCGTAAAGATCAAAGCTCGACCTTACATTTGGGCCAGAAAATTCTTTAATCATTGCAAGAAGACCATCTTCTAAATTAGCAGAGTTCAATTTAATTAAGATTTTGGCAGTAGTTTCGTTGCAAAGACAACAGGCTGGATTAATTGGTTTGAGCGGTGTGGAATCGTCTACTTGCGGTTTGTTTACATTAAGTCTAAGTCGTTTCGCCGTGCGTAGTCTTCGGCTGTGAAAAGATGCACCCGTCGTTTCGTCTCACTTCCGGTATTTACGTCTACGCGTGAACTATTTTAAACATGGCTGGTCAATAGGTCAGGGTAATATCTCCGATAGGTAGAATTTCTCTGTTGATCAGGATAAGTTATTGAGTCTCTTTTCTAGAAACTTCTGTAGAAGATAACTCTGTTTGGAAAACAGACCACATTTTCTACTTCAATTTTAAACCTTAAAAATGGCAAATAAAATTTACATACTAGATCCAATCTTTAAATTATACGATCCGATTCGTTACTCATTTAACATGAAAAAAGAGGATTGTGGGTGCAGAAGGTAATCAGACGTTCAACAATTCAGTGAAAACAAATTCTATACCCTTTATAACTTTATTAACTTCTCACTTCTTAGAGTAAAGTTGTTGTTGTTCACAGATTGACTACAAAATATAACCAAAAAAAAGTACTAACATATTGAAAGCTCCCAAAAAAGACCTATACACCCTACATTCCATCAATTCTCCCCCCAAAAAGACCTATTCACCCTACATTTCATCATTAAATTAACTCATTTAAAAATAGGATGAGTTTAATTTTTTAACATTTTGCAGAACAATCAAAAACTGTCCTTAGTTTTCCTGGTTTGTGTGGATGACAAATTCCATGATGTGGTAGATAACATCTTCTATTTTGACTTTCTTCACTGTTAATTTCATCATCTTCAACTTGTACTGCAAACCCCTTTTCAATAACACCATCCATAAATGTCTTGTAATCTTGATAAAACTTTTGACTTTTCAGCATTTTACTTTTAACACCATATAATCTTGGTAATGCTTGATTACTGTTATCTGTGACTATAGGAAATGGAGACTTGAATGGTAAAGGTACAACATAATCATTATTTTAAAACTTACTGGCCTTTCTAAAATCGTTTATCTTCGTGGGATAACTCTTTCTTCTCATCAGCAGCTCATTCTGGAAAATATATTTCATATGAATTCCTTACTGCCTTATCAATTCTGTTAAGTAATGTTTTTGTTTTGACCGTAACAAGAAACGGAAAATAATCGCAAAACTTTGTGCTTAGAGAGCTCAATTCTAACTAAGCTGCCCAAGTAATGATGGAGAGCAGATGCTACCATATTACTGTCCTTACGATTCTGGTGTTCAAGCCAAACAAATTGGGGTCTTAGGCAAAGCTAGATTTTCCATAAGGTTAAAGAAAACTGTAAACGTATCCTCAACAGAATTCATAAGATCATAAAACTTCCGTCCCCTTCGACGATGCAGTATGTACATGGCAGTGACAATACGCTTTTCTTCATCATGTACTTCTGAATATTTCAGTTGCAATTTGCATTCACTTCAGACATCATTAGCAGGGTGTCCAAATCCGAGATTGAAGTCGTAGACGAACGCACTATAGTATAAGGCGTAGGAGATTTGCGCATCATTTTGCTCCTTAAAAAGCTGATGCATTTTCATAACGTTCAAATCAACAGGTAGGTATTCCCGGCCAGGGGCACCTCGTCTCGCATAGAGGCTTGCCCTACATATGAATGATTTAACGTGATCATGCACTAATTTCCGCTTTGATGTATTTTCGACGCTTTTTCGAGCACCACCACGATTTTCAGGCCTCACGATTCCCTTGTCAAACCAGTACTTAGCAATATTAGCAAGGCGATCCTTCTTGACACCTGAAACAATAAACTGAATGAATGAATAAAAGCATAAAGTCATTTCAAGGCATACAGGCGGTACTGGCATCCTGTTTAATTTTATCAGCGGTCGAATATAGAAGGCTAAATAAACGATTCAGTTCGTTTCCCGAGACAGTAGCTACACACACACCCTGGATATTATGTAAGCAAGAAATGCACGGAATTTTTCCAAGAGCGCTGTGTCTTCCTTTCTTACTCACAGACCGCTTTGATTCACTAGGACAGCGCCTCTTTTTGCGCCTAACAGAGAGTACAACAGGTTCGCTAATTTCATCAAAAGTGTTCATCATGAATCCATAAATCCAATAAATTTTGTCCTACAGTCAGTCTCAACTCAACGTGAAGCGAGCGATAAGGGCTCTGCCATATTGGATGACGTAGCTTATGTCGTGATGCACTGATTAGTCAAATGGAGCTATCGGCTATTGCTAAAAATAGAAGGTGGCGCATATCGCCTTATGCAATAAAATGGTATATTCAACCGTGAAATGCGACGGACATATCTGCTTCTGCGAACAATTGAATGTTACTATCCAATAGAGAGTTGTGTAAGCTATTTGATAGTACACTTAGGTCAATATTATTGACTATGGCGTTTATCGGTATTTGCGCATGAACTCTTCATATAGACTTGACGCGAACGCAAAGTAAGGTGGTTTTTTACCTTTCCTACCATTGATATTTGGTGGGGGGGGGGGGGGGGGTCCAAATAATTATGACTTATTGTACGAACGTGTGACAGAAAACTAAAAAAACCTTTTAAGACGTCTTAAATATTTGGACTACAAAGGTGTCACAGAAAAAAATAAAATATATGAAGCGCAGACATTTCCTGCATAACACAACATCCAGGATTTGCCTTGACGTTCATGTTGTTAGTGTTGCATACTTCCAGTACAGACAGGAATATGGAGACAGACCAGAACAGGCTAATGAGTAATAAACTAATTCTATGTCTTCAATACTTCTTTTAAACTCTATCAAATTGTAAATTGCACATTACAAAATAAATGTCTAAACAATTTTACAGCAATTATAAAATAATAAAATACCAAAACAAAATAAATTCCATGCATCCATTCTAAATTTAAAGTTGGGAATTGTACAATTTATTTCTCTATCGGGTTACAAAGACATTTTTGCGAACCATGATTTTAATATAACAGACTAGATATCAAATATGTAAGCAATCTCTATAGCAACCGCTGTAAATAACGGACATAATTTTTATCATTGGACATGTGCTTCTCAACAGTAAGCTAAGCTTTTGACCTTGTACTTAGAAATCATCATGTTTCTCAAGATATATAAGAGTTGGCAAAATATTTATCATAGGACATAAGTAGATTGTAATTTAAATTTAAGTCCTTTATATTTCCTGGCCGGAATTACACTGGTTTCCATCAGGCAGACAGTGACTAGTTACCGTACTGCATTGTTAAAGCGGGTTATCAGATTTTGAACGTCTATCACTTTGTCTGGTCGCTCATATTCACTACAAAGAGGAGGGGGGACCTTCAGCAGTTTAACACCATGCTCATTCATATGTGAGACCTCTCCAAGACCCATCGCTGTGGCCATTACTGTTTGTACATAGTCTACAAGAATAAAAAGTTTAATCTTTAAAATACTTGTATATTACCACTGAAGCATTTTAACTTCGAAATATAGAAATCTTTGTTTTTACATTAAAGGGATTGTAAAGAGGTTTTCTAAATTTTGTATGTGTATCGGGACACTGATAACATCAATTTGCGCCATTCCAATTTCCATTCCAACGTCTGTGGTTTTTGCAATTCCACTATGGCGTCACCGACAGTGATCTACCGGAAGCTACTATTGATATCTATGCAGATCACTATGAGTGATCAGTGTCCCCAATTCACATACAAAGTTTAAACAACCTCTTTACAATCCCTTTAATTAGATACACCCACCCGTCTAACACCTTGTTGGTGTATGTAATACATGAAGAATCCAGACATTAATGACCAACACTTGACTTGCTTAGCTTTTAAAGATCAGTACTACTTGGATCACTTACCATATGTGCAGTCTACCAAAATTCTTCTGACAGAATAATCCCCCTTCTTAAACTTTGGGTAGACTATCTTGTACCGTGCTCTGCCATCCTTTGTTACTGCTTGTTCCCTTTTTCATTAAAACTAATGTAGTCCATTTGTTTCATACCGAAAATCACTGAAAAAAATATGAGAACAAAAAGCAAATCTTTTCAACTAATGTCAAACAATGGGTAGACACGGAGTTCATTTCATATGCAAATTATTCAAATTTGTGCATATCATGCTGCGCACTGTGGGGCATTTTATCACATTTTTACTTGCAAAGTATTCCATGGTAAGAAAAGTCAATCATTTTGGGTGCAAAGTGGTTTATTACAGAATGGTACCCCTCCAAGGCTGATGTCTGTTTGCATGACAACATTCTTTTTCACTTGACAGTGACACACAATTCCCTGCAGCTTTTCATACACCTTTGTTCCTGAAATAAAATTGAACATTGACAGAGGTCTTACACATTACAGGGACATATGTTTTATAACCAATTTTGGGATGTACAGATGAACAGACGGACTAGGGCAAAACTTCCACTACGACAGGGGGCATAAAAACAGCTGAAAATAGCCACATATTGCATATAAAAATGTACCTGAAATGTTTCAAACAAGCGTAAGCCACGGCTCTGTGTTCAAGGCCCTTATTAAGATATACTTTTCTTTTATAATTTTACGAATTGTTAATAAGAATTATCAGTGCCTGGTTTAAGCCATTTTTGTGCCTTTCTCTGCCCTCTAAAGACCCATGCTGACATGCTGGAAATTCATCACTGTGTCCATCATGTACATTTATGATGTGGTTCAGAATAGAATACCACTTAGCAACAATAACATCCTGGTCCTGTCCTTTGGAAGAGGCAGCAGTCCAGTAAAGATGGTTGACAATATTTTTAATCCATGGCTGAAGGTCATTGTAGTCTTTTCCTATTGAAAGTTTAGCCAACTTTTTCATTAAACCTGAAAAATAGCCATTTCATTATATATTTTACCTAACATAATGTGTTCATAAAACATTCATGCCACAGTAAAAAAAAAACCTGTTAATATTGTCAATAATAGTAAGTACTTTTAAAAAACTTCATTTGACAGCATTTTAAGAAACTAACCTTTGGCAGCATGCCACACATCCAAGTGGTGTGTTGTTTCTGGCATCTCTTCCCGTATCCACTTTGCTATCATTTTGTGTCCATCTGTTATGATTGTCTTAATTGGGATATCATGGTGACGGAAAAACTTGACACTCCGCACACTAGTCAATCGGCTTGTCGTGTTGAGCTTATGAGTCGGTTGTCAGAACAGATTCAACTTTTTCTTGTAATAGTTAGTATCTTTTTTCTTCCAAATCATTTCACTGACTCAGAAGCAGCGGCTTGGGTCAATTGGGTAAAAAAATAAAAATAAAAGTTCGGAATTTATTTGCTACACTCAGAACTTTTATTCTTTTTTTTTGTCTAAGTATATCTCCCGATTACCCCTAGGGCGCCGGCGTCCCGCGTAAAGCCCGCGCGGATGTCGTGGTCCGTGGTGGTCGGGGGTTTCGGGAGATGAATCCTTTAATATTTCTTCATGGCTACACAAACTAAAAAAACTTAAACGAGCGTAAGTGCCGGTTAACTGAGGCCGAATTTACTGATTCGTCTAATTCAGACGAATCATGGCCTCGGTTTCTTGTCATTGACAGTAGTGACCCTGATAGGTCTTTATCATCATTTGACTGGACTTGCCAGTGAACCAAAATCGACAAAAAAATTACGTAATGGGTCTTTGTTGGTTGAATGCTCACGCAAAATTCATTCTGAGCTGTTATTAAAATCATCCACACTGGCTAATATCCCTATCAAAGTTTCACCTCATTCCTCTCTGAACTCTTCCAAAGGGGTCATTCGACATCCAGACCTCAATGGATGTTCTCCTGAGGAAATGAAGAAGGAATTACAGGATATTGGAGTCACGAACGTTGATAGAATATCCATCCGTCGTGACGGCCAATTAATTCCAACCAACACATTCATTCTGTTATTTTACCGACCTAATTTACCATCCGAAATATAAGTAGGCTATCTGAACATTAAAGTTTCACCATATATACCAAATCCTCTCAGATGTTATAACTGTCAACGCTTCGGGCATGGAACTCGAACTTGTAAGAGTTCGATTCGGTGTGCGCGTTGTGGTCAGTCTGGGCATGACAACAAGGATTGCACCGAAGCTCCTTGTTGTTGCAATTGCAATGGAAAGTATGTTGCCTTTTCCAAAGACTGTCCAAAGTGGCAAACTGAAAAAAAAATTAATAAAGTAAAAATAGAAAATAAATTATCGTATCCCGAAGCGAGGAAGGTTGTAGAAGACGCAACTCCATCTACTCCTTCCGGAAAGACTTTTGCTAATGTCTTTAAGGCTTCTACCAAATCGGCGGAATGCCAAACTGACATCACTTGGCTGACACGGTTACCAGTAGCGTCTCCGGCCTTATTACCATCTACTTCTAAGGCAATACCATCTACATCATCCGCTACCCAGGCTTCTCAGACTGAGAAGTCAGTAGCTGATGATAGTTGTTTAAGTCTACCAACTAAAGACGTTCAGCCAAAAGGGACTGGTAAGCAGTCCTGACAAAGGCATAGCGAAAGTCTTTCTTAAAATGACAAGTCCGGCAAAAAAAAAATGGATCCTCCTCCAAAAAGGGAGGAAGAGATCTTTTGAAGTCTGCCATATCTGATAGTATAGATATGGAGGCTTCCGAGGTTGATGCGGAAGTTCTCAACCCCCCTTACCGCAAACCTCGTAGTCCAGTCAAACCACCCTGACAATGCATCAAAAAAATAATATAATACAATGGAATTGTCGAGGATTAAGTCATAATCTTAATGAAGTTCAGCTAGTAATGCAACAATACAATCCATTGGCTATTTGTCTCCATGAGACTTTCCTCAAGCCAACGGATTTGCGTTTAGTGCCATTTAAACATTTTGTTTCCTACCACCATTATGGCACTGGTGATAATAAGGTCTCGGGTCGTGTTTCTATTATTGGCAATAGGAATGTCGCCCAGTCCGAAATCACACTATATTCTCCTCTGCAGGTAATAGCCGTGCGAGTTACACTTGCCTATTACCATTTGCTCCATCTACTTACCACCTAGCTTATCATTGAACCCAAGAGAATTGGATAACCTTGTTGCCCAGCTTCCTTCTCCTTACATTTTGTTAGGAGATTTCAATGGTCACCATTCTTTCTGGGGTAGCTCCGATGATAATAGCAGAGGAAAATTAATAGCTGACTTCATTTATGACAATGATCTTTGCATCTCTAATGACGAATCGCCTACGCATTTCTGCTCAAAAAACAAATCTTTTTCTCATCTAGATCTGACAATTAGCTCTCCATCTTTGTTCCAAGATTTTTCTTGGAGTGTCCACGACGATCTCTGCCACAGTGATCATTATCCTGTAATTCTACGAAATAATGGTCCTTCACCTGTAGACAGGCCACAAAGATGGAAACTCTCCAAAGCTAATTGGCCTCTCTTTGAGGCTCTTTGCATTTCTTCTTTTCCTCAAGATGATCTAGATGAGGCAGAAGACCAGATGGAATTATTTACCACCATCTTACAAGATGTATCGGGTCAGGCGATTCGTAAAACCTTGGCAACTCCAAAACGATTCAATAAACCATGGTTTGAAGAACGCAATCGTGCTCTACGACTCCTTGAACGTTCTCCTACTGATAACAATGTAGCCTCTTTTCGCATTGCACGGGCGAAAGCCAGGCGGGCTATCCGCCAAGCAAAGAGGTCGTCATGGCAGGAGTACGTTTCAAGGATCAACAGTCGTACGTCTTGTAAATCCGTCTGGGATAGGATTCGTAGGATCAAGGGTAAAGCGGATACAATATCTGTGAACCATCTACAAATAGATGGTTCAACTCTCACCACTCTTCCAGATATTGCTAATTCCTTGGGCCACACCTTTTCGTATAATTCTTCCTCTAACTTTTCCTCGGATGCTTTTCGGAGAGTAAAACTCCCGGAAGAGAGGAAAAAACTTAATTTACATCAAAAAACGAGGAATATTATAATGATAAATTTAAGATCTCGGAATTAAAGTTTTCTTTGAAACAGGCTCATGATACAGCTACTGGGCCTGATGATATCCATTACCAGATACTAAAGCATCTCCCTTACACAACATTAGAAAAACTTTTATGTATATTCAACCAGACTTAGGATGACGGTGTATTTCCTCCATCTTGGAGGATCGCTACCATTGTACCTAAACCTGGTAAAGATCCTACGAATCTACTAATTACCGCCCTATTGCATTAACAAGCTGCATTTGTAAAACCATGGAACGAATGATAAATCGAAGGCTCGTTTGGCACATTGAGTCAAACAATCTTCTTACCAACCTCCAATGTGGATTTCGGTCCCAAAGGAACACTCTTGATCATCTCGTTAGATTTGAATCGTTTGTCAGGGATGCATTCATCCAAAATAAACATCTTGTAGCCATATTCTTTGATTTGGAGAAGGCGTATTACACCACTTGGAGATATGGCATTCTTCGTGATCTCTTTGACTTCGGTCTCAGAGGAAGATTGCCATTATTCATCTCCAATTTCCTACATGATAGGACGTTTAAGGTTCGACTTGGCTCCATTTTTTCAGATCCTTTTCCTCGGGATAATGGAGTTCCACAGGGTAGCATATTATCCGTTACCCTGTTCTCTATTAAAATTAATTCCATCACGTCGTGCCTTAGACGGGGGGGTTGATGGCTCTCTGTATGTTGATGACTTTCAGATGTGTTATGGCTCTACAAACATGCAGACGATTGAGCGTCAGTTGCAGCTTTGCTTAAACAACTTACAGCAATGGGCAACTGACAATGGATTTAGGTTTTCGAAATCCAAGACCGTCTGTATGCATTTCTGTAAACGAAGAGGATTGCACCTAGATCCAGAACTAAAGTTGGATGGTGCTGTCATTCCTGTTGTGCGGGAATTTTAATTTTTGGGACTCACTTTTGACAGCAAGCTTTCTTTTCGTCCCCATACGAGTCTTATCCATACTGACTGGGGAGCCGACCGAAAGGTCCTCCTCCGATTGTATCGAGCTTTGGTTCGTTCCAAGCTCGACTATGGGTGTCAGGTGTATGGATCAGCTCGTCCATCCTATATTAAAGAGCTTGATACCATACCGTGACAGGCTTTCATTGCAGTACGCTATCAAGATAGAATCATTGCCACAACATCCTGCTTACTGCCCCGTATTTAGACCTTACTTTGAACACCTGTACGAGGCAAAGCCTCGTGCTGTTTCTTCTTTTGGAGTCCACATTCAACCCCTTATGTCAGCGGCTGGTATAAGCCACGACAGTATTGCGGACTTCGTAATGACCACAACTCCACCGTGGTCGATTGCTCCATTTCAGATAGACTTCAGTCTATCGAGCAACAAGAAAACTCAGACAAGCTCTATAGTTTTTCAATCTAAATTTCTAGAACTAAGGTCTAAATATGGAGATTACTCAACTTTCTATAAAGATGGATCTAAGGATGGTGATAAGGTAGCAGCCGCTACAGTTACACCATCCGAAGTTCTATCTGTAGCTCTACCATCAGCAGCCTCCATTTTCACAGCAGAACTCATTGCCATTTTACAGGCACTTGAGTTCTTTCAGTCCTCTACATCATTAAAAAAAGGTATTATATTTTCTGATTCTTTGTCCTCATTACAAGCTATTTATAACATCCAGCTTGTACAATGTGTACTATGTGACCTTTCTGTGATATTGATAGGTGTTTTATTGTTTTAGTTTTTTCATTATTTTAACGTAGTCTGGAGCTACATAGCCCGTTTGGTGCTGATGCTCCTTAATGCATTTCATTTCATTTCATTTCATCTGTCAGTCCGACTAATCAGTTTTCAACACTTTTTTCATAATGCTTAAAGATATTAATTTGATTTTCAGTATGAATTTTTTAGGACTAATTTCAAAGCAAACAAATGTAAATATATACCTGAACTAATTGAATATCAGCAACAGTTCCCTCATCTAAATCAATCATATTGTAACTTCCATACTTTGCGCAATGGCCAGGGGTGTCACATCTTCCATTACAACTGGTATTATCTGTGACATGATACAATTCAGAGACGCAGAAATTCACAACTGCATCAAACAAGACGTTATTGAAATTATCAATTACTTATGTATAAATTAATTTAATATACATGTATATTTCTTTTTTATTTGTTCATTTGTGTACTATATTTTGTACGAAATAAATATATTATAATTATTGTTTCAAAGAGTAATGACAACTGCTAGAATTAATGAATTCAATAAGAAATGTGATGCTTCATTTCAAATTTATACTCTAAAAAATAGAAATTTACGCCCCAGAGATGTAAACAGGGAATTAGATTGGGTTTTATATTTACATAACTCACATTTCTGTCTCATAAGAAGAAATGAAAAAAGTTTAGGTATTAAAGAAATAAAAGATAATTATGGACAGGTATGGAAAACATGTAAAGATGTTAATACCGTAACACAACTATCACCTTTGAAACTAAACGTATTTTCAAGTATGAGTGATGATACTTTATTCGCTTGGGATTGTGAAACATATTCAGAAAGTGAAACGAGTAAAGCAATTCCTTATTCCTGTACGTTAATTAATTTAGAAAAACTAAGAAAAAAGTTACATGATCGAAAGTATCTTTCCAAATCTAAATCCTACTGATAATGTTCCATAATATAGTAGAAGTATTTGTAGGAACAGATTGTACAGATCAAATGTTAAAATATTTCGGTCAATATGATAGAAGAGATTAACATTGATTTCTCATAACGGTAGTGTTTCTTAAGAAAGACGATAGCATTGTTATTAAAAAGAGTGACAAAGGTTCATGTTGTGTGATTCTGAATAGGGAGAATTACGTTTCAGAAGCAGACAATCAACTGAATAATCCTAAACATTATGCCATTTTACCGAAACCAATTTTCAAAGAAACTGCTAACATGATTAACAATATTCTTGCCGATTTAACCAAAACTAGTTATCTCAAACAGAAACAATATGACTATCTGTCTGCCAAACCTATTTGTCGCGAGAGACATTTGTACACTTTGCCTAAGAATCCAATCAAGCAGTGGTTTATCTCGAATAAAATAAAGGCAGCCCGATTATATCTGACTGTAGTAGTGAGTCGTATGCAGTGTCAGAATACATTGATCATTTCTTACTACCTCTAGCATGTCAACATCGCGCCTACCTTAAAGACACAACCGATTTTGTCAATAAAATAAAAAATCCTCGAGTTCCCTCTAATGCTATTTTAATTTCTATCGATGTTTCTTCTTTGTATACCAATATCGATAACACTAATGGTTTAACGGCAGTTCATAAAGCTTTAATAGAAACCCAGATCCAA